TATATATATATGTTTTCTGTATCTTTATATTCTGTATTTTAATATATAATTTATTTTATTTTATATTAATTAATTTATTATTATTATTATTATTGTTATGTTGAAAACAGTTGTGCTGCTTAATATTTTTTTGGAAACCATGATACATTTTTTTCAGTATTCTTCAATGAAGAGAGAGTTCAAAAGAACAGCAATTATTTGAAATAAAATTTTATATTGAACATCAGTAATTTGGTTTCTACAGTTTTTAAAAGCAATATGCCACTGGAGGTCACTGATTTGATCGTTACATTGATTTTACCATGGTTAAGAGAGTATTAGAGCACAAAGCATGAGAACACTCAATAATGGTGGTAAAATAAATGTAACTACAGGCCTCTTGTGGATAATTTTTCTGTCTTGGGAAATAGTAACGTTTCGTCAATCAAGTTACTCTAATAAACATGTAAAAAGCTGCAAGAGTATTATACTTACTCTATGTAGACGTCAACATAAGCAAGTAATCTTCACATTCACCAAGCCATATGTACAGGCATGCGGTAAGAAAAGAGGAACAGAGGTTATGAGATGTTATATAGCAGAAAGAAAGGCCACTGAGTGAAGAATGAAGAAAAGTCAGATAAAAGAGCAGAGCAGATAACTGTAACACTTTGGCATAAGCTGAAGCATCACACACTTTGCACGTGTACATCAAAAATGAGGTAGTAAGACATGAAGCAGGGGAAGGACTGAGCAAGTAACAAGAGTGCTGACCAGAGAGGCATTCTGGGGGTTTCTGGCCAGCAAGGAGCAGGCGGAGGTGGTAGGAGCAGCGGTGTAGGTGGTGGAGCCCAGCTAACAGCTTTACCACCTGATGCTCATTTAAGAGCGCTACAGGAGAGAGAGAATGATGAGGACAAAAAGGACTGAATGGATGCAAGAGGTGAAGGTTAGCAACAGAGAGGGATATCAAATGTCCAGGGACAGCAATTCTGGGAAGACAGAGAAAAAGATGGAAAGGAAACAGTAATGACAGTTTTTAGTACTATTCCTTTCTTATTTGTGACACTGGAGCACAAAACCAGTCTCAAGTCGCTGGGGTATATTTGTAGCAATAGCCAAAAATACATTGTATGGGTCAAAATTATTGATTTTTCTTTTATGCCAAAAATCGTTAGGATATTAAGTAAAGATCATGTTCCATTAATTTTTTTTTTTTTAGTTTCCTACGGTAAATATATTAAAACTTAATTTTTGTTTAGTAATATGCATTGCTAAGAACTTCATTTGGACAACTTTAAAGGCAATATTTTGATTTTTTTTTGCAGCCCCAGATTTTCAAATAGTTGTATCTCGGCCAAATATTGTCCTAACAAATCATACATCAATGGTAAGCTTATTTATTCAGCTTTCAGATGATGTATAAATCTCAATTTCGAAAAATTGACCCTTTGTGGTCCAGGGTCACATTTGTAATTTATATACAAAAATATAAAATTTATATACGAAAAATAACTAAATAAAAGTTGTAATGTAATTTTTTTAAAGTCCAGGCACAGCAATTCTGGGAAAGCAGAGGAGAAGGAGGTAAAGAGTAGTGTTAATTTAAAAAAGTATTACAAATTTGTAATAAATAAGTACACGTATACATTTATTTAATATTACTACTATTTAAAAAACTGGAATTTTGGGAAAATGGAGAATAGAAGATAGTGATACTTTTTAAAAGTACCCTTTATTTCAAATTTGTGATAATTTTATGAATAAAAATGTTTCAATTTAATAAAATCATAAACTGTGTCATTATTGTTTTGTTTGTTAATTATAAAGTTAATTATTGAGTCAGATTCATAAGCAGAATAATTCAAATCCACCGAGTAACAGGAGGAAAATATTGAGTAACAGGAGGAAGAGGAGAGAGAGTAGGAGGACAGGAGGGAGAGGGATGAGGTAAGCAAAGATGTGGCAGAGATGGAGGAGGGATGGTGTGGGCCGTAGGGAAGCGAAGGCTTCAGGAATTCGGGAGAGAACTAAACACTGCAGGTTGAGGGGGAACAAAGGGATGACAGAGATGGAGGAGGAGGAGGAAGGAGAGGCCACTGCAGCACACAGCAATGAGGATCCACTGCCTCAACCCCTGCTGAGATGTTTTTGCCAGTGACTCAGCAACATACAATTAATGAGCTGAAATTAATGTTTTTGGTTTTGTCAGGACCTACAACTATTTTCAGAGGCAACTAGAGTGCAATTAGAGTCCCTGTACGAAGCGAACTCTCCGAACAGAGCCTAACGATTGAGCAAAGCTCTTTGCAATATCAACTAACGTTCAAATTATGCTATTTGTATTTGAATGAAACATTTGAATAGATTAGGTTTCACAGTGCATGCAAACACTCCTGAAGTTTCATAACATAGTGAGTCATTCAAACAAAGTCAGCTGTAACAAGCAGCAATAATCCTGCACTGAAGCAATTTTTTCCATGCACTTCTGTTATATGCAATTTATTTTGAAAGATGAAGCTGGTGATTATGGTAAGGGGCGTTACATTTCCGACACGTGCTTGCGGTGTTCAGCCAATCACAATGCACTGAGTCAGCTGGTCAATCAGAGCACACTGTGCTTGTCGGGAGGGACTTTGTAGAAAATGAAGCGTTTGAGAGAGACGGGGCATAGAGGACCTACAATAATGTACAGTATTTGAAAAATAATGTGTTTTTTTAACATTAAAGCATGTCAACATTTTCTGTTACACCAAATACACAAAATAATGATCTTTAAAATAGCATCATATGACCCTTTAAAGAGCATACATATAATACTGCATAATACACAATATTATCTAACCAGTATATAATAGCACGTAAATCTTCCTTGGTCTTGACAAATATGCTTAATGGCTGGAAAAATGACCGACACATGTTGATAGGAAACACATAGTTAGCCTGTCTGAAGGGTTTTTAGACTCGTGGCAAAAATGAGTTTCCCTCAAGCTGTGTTAAAGTGTCAAATGAAATAAGCAGAGTTCGATCATTTCAGCTCTTCCCTAGGCTGTACTGTGTGGAGAAAAACACTTCAACCTCACCAAAACCCGTCTGAGCTCAAATCCCTACAGGGACGCCCACATTCGACAAAGCCTTGTGCTAAACATCTGCATCATTTTATAAGGGTTCAGTCCCTCAGCAACAGACTTGCTTCATGAGGAAAACTTGTGAATGTGAATATAATGATAATCTTAAATGTCTCTCAAAAGTCTCAAAATGTAAGAAAGTCAAACACTTGGTAAATACTAATTGAAGCTCTGACACATTTCAGCTTCTACTTAACAAGATGTATAGAAACAATCAATAAGATCATGCAAATATAAAGTCCTGCATACATGAACAAGTTTGTTCAAATAAAAACGCACATCATTCTCATAAATTTCATTTCAATCAAGATAATGATTCAAGTAAAAACAGATGTTAACCCTCACCCCATTAGCATCTATGACCATCATGCAAAGTGTGAAGTGTATCCATTATCCCCACTGGCAAAAGTGCTTTAATATATTACAATAACTATATTTAAACACTGCAAAAATTATTATTATTATTTTTATTTTTTATATATATATATATATATATATATATAGTTTTTATTCTATATAGTCAATATATTTTTTTATTATTATTTATTTTAGTATATCAAACTAAAATAAATTGAAATGAAAAAATGTTGCCATGGCTGAAATAATTTTTGTATGCTTTTAATTCTAGTAATAAATAAATAAATAAATAAAACAAAAAAAAAAACAAATTCTCTGAAGAGTCTTAATATCATGCAGTTTTTCCTCAAATAAATATTTATATAATTATTAATTATTTAATATTGATTAAGACTATGATTTCTTTTGCAATGAAGAAGTCTACTTTGACGCATTTAAAGTAATGCATATGCCATGTGGTGGAAGGGTTAACCATTTCTGAATCAAGTGGATCAACATGAAAGGTGTTCACACGTTTTTCCACACAAAAAGCAATATATCCAGAGTGATATATTCGGTACACAACCCATGCAGCAAGCCAATCAGAAGGAGAAATGAATTAAGATGGGTGTGTCTTGTGAATCTAAATGAAAAAGGTGAAGAAAAGCCTTCCTGATTCATGAAATAAATGAAACAGACATCACAAACGGTGCTAAATTACGAAGACTAGCAGCAGCAGAGGGCATGCAGGAGAGGGTCAACAAAAAACACACACTCAAAAACTCCAAACATACCATTAGTCGGATGCCTGGCATACGACACAGATGAATTTTAATTCAGAAATGTTTTAGAACAGATCATTTAATTTGAGTTTATATATACATATATTTTTTTTTTAGGGCATAAAGTAAAAAATACCAGGGTAATACAACAATTGAAAAGAATATGTAGTTTAATGTAATCTTTAATATATATTATTTAGCATATTATTAAAATATTGTGGCTTGATTTGGGATGTCTTTGAAGGCTAGACTAAAATGTCAAGTATGAAGTATGTTGAAAAACAGCCACTAGGATGGAAGTAGGAATATTGAATGCTATTCAACATTATTTGTCACACTGAATGAAGTAAAATGGGAATATCTAGACATTATTCAGAAGAATTGTTTCCTGGGACGTTTGTGATAATTTGAATCTTCAGGTCCAAGGTGGCTGAGGTACATTATGACCCTATGTGTGTGTGTGTGTGTGTGTGTGTTTGGGACATACCGGTTTGAGAAGACCGATTCCTGAGCGAGGAAAGCTTTTTGCGGGGAACTCGTGATAGGTCTCTCAGGTTGGGGAAGGAGGCGCTGAAGAGGCCCGCACACTGGGCGCCTGCGTGTGGGAGGGGAGGGAGACCGTGGGGTGGAGCGGGCGATAGTTAGATTT